TGCAGTTCTCGAATGGGTTCTCATAATTCTGCTTTTCGTTGATGGGTTTGTTGGATTTTTGGCTAACGAATTTGCCAAGTTCTTCGAGTTGCGAGTTCCGTGCCTGTTCTGCACCAGGATCGACCATGTTCTGGTTCGTAAGAATGCCGATTTCTACTACAACCATTCCATCTGTGAAGGCCACAAGAAGGATGTCTCGTCTCTTGCATATTGCCATAACCACAAGAAACTCTCCGACATTCGCCAGATGTGCGAGGTCTGTCTTCTCTCTTTCGCCACCGAGAAGGAATCCGACTGCAATACCTACAAATCGCTCGTCGGGATACTGCACAAGGATCTTGAATGCTTTGTTGAGGATGATCGCCAGGTAGTTAGCTTGCCTACGGGGAAGAAAGATGAGGGTGTTCATGTGGAGAAGGGGGGTGATTACTGTTGTTGTTCATGTTGTGGGGAGCCATTGAAGCTTACATCCGCCAATTCAAAAGCCAAGAATGGAACGACCTTTTCGCAAGCTCCTGCTCCATCGCCCCGAGCCGCTTTCAAAAACGACGACAAAACTAGCTTGGAGTTGCCACACATTCGTTATACAGAACTCAAATTATTGTCTGATGAACCAGAGTTCGTAGAAGATGATGAAGGTTTACATGGAAGAAATCTCGACTCTCAATGTAAGTCCAGTTTATTCAAATTTTACTTTATTCAATGGTTCTGTTTACAATGTTTTCTACTCCTGCGAACATTTTTAGTGTCTGGAATTGATTCGGGTGCAGTTAAGGAAGATGTGAAAGCCGTAAAAGCGCCATTGTTACCTGAAGGTGAGGACGGGCATGAAACTTCCAGGACCCCCGTCTTTGGAAGAGGAAACAAATTTTTTGGTATCCCACTTACGGATTCTGCTAATAACAGTCCCAGGTGGGCCTTCAGAGTCTCCAGAAAATCACCACTTGAAAGAACAGAGTTTCAAGCGGAGAATTTTGAGGCAGACATGTTGGGGCCAGGAGACAATGATTCCATTTTGAATTGCTTGAAAAGACAAGTTAAAATCGATCGGAAATCGCTCATGGAGTTGTACATGGAACTGGATGAGGAGAGAAGTGCTTCAGCCGTGGCGGCGAACAACGCAATGGCCATGATCACTCGCTTACAAGCCGAGAAGGCGGCCGTTCAGATGGAAGCTTTACAGTATCAGAGAATGATGGAAGAGCAGGCAGAGTATGACCAGGAAGCCTTACAAGCTACAAATGATTTGCTTGCAAAGAGAGAGGAAGAGATCAAGGTCTTGGAGGCTGAAATTGATGCTTACAGAGAAAAATATGGATATCTTGGGGATGGTAGTCCTAAGTTGTCCGAAGATGAGATATCTGATGAGGATTACCAAGAATTCAAGTCACAATCATGTCTGTCTTCTGATGAGAAATCTGACTGTGGTACACCCTTTAGTCTCAATGGGAGAGAGAACAACAAAGAAATTTTTAACATTTTAGATGTGCCGTTTACACCCTCCGCAATAACACCTTCTGCGATAACACCTTCTGCATCGAAGATTGACAGAGAAAATAGCAAAGAAGAAAGTATCAACGATCATGGTGTAGCTCTAACACCTCCTGCATCGAAGATTGACAGAGAAAATAGCAAAGAAGAAAGTATCAATGATCATGGTGTAGCTCTAACACCTTCTGTGTCGAAGATTGCCAGAGAAAATAGCAAAGAAGAAAGTATCAACGATCATGGTGTAGCTCTAACACCTTCTGTGTCAAAGATTGCTAGAGAAAATAGCAAAGAAGAAAGTATCAACGATCATGGTGTAGCTCTGCCATCCTCCCAAGGGAAGGCTGGAGGAGAAGGCCTAAATGAAATAAGAACATCCTTTAAAGGGGAAAAAACATTTCTTTTAGGCCGCTTGAAAAAGGCAAAGAAGATCTCAGATGATGGACTTTCTGCCTTGCAATCAACCACTTTCATTGTCGATCAAGTAGATGAAGATACAGGTATTGTGTTATATCAACAATGGATATGAAAAAACTTTACAGGAGAAGATTGATTTCGTTCCATTTCTAATCTGGCAGGAAATGAAAGAACTTCTTCACTTACCCAACAACTCTCTAATCTTAACGCCGAAGGAGAACACGAGTCCTCCAAGCATGAAGGCAAAAGGATGTTAACTAAGATTTCTCACGACTTGAGGAAACTTCAAATCCATGTTGACGAGGACAGTGATGAAAAATCTTCATCCTAACCACACCCCCTATACGGTGATTACTCATTGATTTTAGTTAGGTTTCAACTATAGGGCGTTGTTTGATTTTTTTTTTTTTGGTGGGTGTTCCTTTTCCTTGCAGTTTCTTTTCTTCCTAGGATGTACATAAAGTTGTATGACATGCTGAATATAGATATAAGGCTTCATGGAGCTCCGCAGCTGCTAACTTCTTCCATAGCGTTAAGAGACTTTCTTTCCATCTTCTCTTCAGTTGCTTTCTGTAATGCTTCTAGACTAACAAATTCAGTTTCCAATGAATTATTGATCTCGAATCCACAGGTGCAGAGCTAACAAAGGTGCAGAGCTGACAATTCGGCTGTCAGTGATGATTGATGCGTGTAGAAGGCCTTTTTTCATTTTCCTTCTCCTGTAATGGCTCATCAAATTCAAAAGAGTGTGGAAATGGTGTTACAGAAAAGTGCTTTTGAAGTTACATACCAAAAGCCAAAGAAGAAGAGAAAGAAAAAGGCCAATATTCCTTCTTTTTTAAGGCTATAGCTGGATCAATGATAGAACATCACAAGGGAAACCAGAAAGGCAAAGAGTTTGGTTAGCTTTCATCCCATTTACAATGAAACAAATGTTAGATTTGTTTACAATGATGCAAGAGTTTTTAAAGTCATAATCCCCTCCCCTAAATGTTCTCCTGTTCGAGTTTATTACAATGACAGCAATGTGCAAGGAATTTTGATTGGTTTCATCCCATTTACTAACTGGAAACTTTGAGGTGGAAGAGGCCAATCTTTTTGAATGCAGATAGATATAATTTTCTTAGTCATTAATTGATCTAGCAGAAAGGAATTTCAACTAACAATGCTTAGTCACTTTTGTCCTTAGCTACCAAATTTTGAACAGAAGAAGCCTAATATTGACTATGGACACAACCGACCCAAGGGGCCCATCCTCCCACCAAATTAAATAATAATGTGAAACTAATTTTTCCAACTTCCAGAAAGAGCCAAATACCACGGTCCAATCTTCAAAATAAGGAGCTATGAATACGGGTGCAATAATGATGCACATGTACCAGTCAAAGAGAAGAATGTGTATCCAATATCAAACATAAAGGCTGTGGGCCTCCCCTGCCATTACTATCATTTTCAGCTAAATAAAACTTTATAACATAGAAAGCTAAAAAAAGGGGGTGTGGGGGGTGGGGTAAGTAAGGAGGTCTCTCCTTGGCCTGTCCAATGTCTTGGACAGAGCTAACATTTCAGAACAAGAAACAAAAATGCATAATTTAATCTTAATCTTGTCAAATATACTTTGCTAATAATGAAGCAGATATAATTTGGGTGAAAAAGGGATTTTATGTATGCAATCTAAATAGAAAGAGCAGTGGAACTGAAACATAATATATAGAGAATTGGGTCTTTGAGCAGTAAAGAAAGGGTTATTCTATCACTAAACCTCATTAATTTCAATAAAAATTGTTCTGTGTAAACAGCTTGTAAGAGGTCCCTAAACAAATTGTGGGGAATATTTTGTATTGCTGGTGTGTTTCTTATCATAAACCAATGTACAAGTATTATGAAGGCGGTCTCTTTTACCTTTGTTAAGCTGAATATGCCAAATTTATTGGATTTCCCAGCTGTGTTTTGGACATCTACTTCAATCAGCTCTTTGTACGGAAGTTTTGAACAATAGAATATACAGCTTTTGATCCATTGAGAAATATAAGAAACCACCGACTGAATGGGTAACAAAAGACCCAAAACTTGTCCCCACGATGCAGTGCCAGGCCGGGCCATACACCCCATCAAATTCCTGGAGAAATCCCAAGCAACCCAGTAAAAGTTATGATCCATTCGTTCTAAAAACTTGAAGATTGAACACGAACCTTAAATTAATTACCCGCTTGAGAGATAAGGCAAGAGTCTTGGAAGTGAACTTCTCCATACTATCATGAGCCTTTCTTGCAGAATCCACGGCATGGATCTGCATAACTGGTGGCATATCAACAGAAACCACTCTCACTCCATTATTGGCAAAAATATCAGCCAATTCAACTTGGGAACCACCAAAGGACCTTCTTCTCCCACCCCTCCTAAGCAATGAAACTGTTGGTCTCAAGTTTCCGAGATGAAGATGATGCCCCTTTTGAAATTCTTTCAATTCCTTGTCCTTCACCACAAGGCTGAGACCGCTGCTACCATCAACCCCTTCATCAGCTTCCTTCTTCTCACCAAAAAACTTCTGCGTACCCAGCTCTTTACAAAGCTTATTCAATTTCTCAGTACCAACTGAAGCAATTTTTCTGGGGTGGGATTTGGATTTGACGAGATGAAACTTGGAGGAGTCAAGCATGGCAGAAACAGTCAAGGGTTTGGCCTGTAAGTGAGAGTCTAGAATAGCAGGAGGTGGGTTTGGATTGTTTGGCCTTTGAGATGAAAGAGCGGCGTGACTGTGGAGTCTGGAAAATGGGATGTGGTTGGACAAGGGAGAGGAGTTAGGAGCAGAAGCAGCGGCCATGGAAGGAGCTGTGGAGGGGGGTTTATGGGGAGGATAATCAGAACCAGGATCAGGATCAGGAGGGGCTAAGAGGCGCAGCTGGGTGGTGGGGTGAGCCATGGGGGAGGTCTGTGAGAAGAGGAGAAGAGAATAGGAGAGTGTGGGGAAGAGAAGGTAACTTTTTGACGGAGAATTTGGGGATTTGTGATTTTGGGAGATGGGTCACCATTTTTTTCTTTTCTTTTTGGTCAGAAATGAAAATGGGGATTCATTTGATTTGATGGGGACTTGTGTGACTGAATACTGAAATTTCGTTCTGTGTTCTAACGTGCGCCTCCTGTGGATGCCCAGGAGAGGTCTGTGACGGTCGTTGGATGACTCACGTGTTTGACCCATAAAATTAATTTTAGTTTAAAATATTAATTTTATTCATGTACTCTAATCTTTGATTTATTTTTATTTGTGTGCTTTTGAATCTTCAATTTGATTCCTGCACTCTCATTTTGAATTATTTATTACTATTATTGTACTCTCAAAATCTACGTTTATTATTTGTACTTTAAAAATCTAAAAATTTTCATTATATTGAGAATTTGTGTTCAAATTTTGAAAATATTAATCAAAACTGTCACTTTTTAAATATACGATAACCAAAATAAACATTCTGAAAAAGAAAAAACATCTAAATGCTAAAATGAACTAAAGTTGAAAATATAAAAGGCCGAAGTAAATATTTTGAAAGTACAAAAATCAAAATGAACCAAAATTGAAAATAAAGTGACCAAACAACATTTTAACCTTAATTTTAGTGTGCTTTTTTGCTTTTAGTTTAGGCCATAAATTTTTTTATTTTTCAAGTACAACAATTTGGAATATGAGAATTTGAACCTCCAACCTAAAAAATATATATAAAGTATCAATTATCGCTGAACTATAACCGTTTAGATCATAACTTTTAAAACAAACTCTTGTCTTCTCTTATATTAAGTAAGCCTTGAATTTTAAAACAAAAATAGTTTAAATTTGAACAAGCTAGCTAGTCCCATAATTGAACCACGAGTATGTTAAATCAATTCCATTCAATAAGTTTAAACTATGTTGAATCTTTATTTTCAATAGGTTATTTGTTTTAGTTTGAAGTTTTAGATAAATTATCCATCTTTCTACTGTGATTAATCTTATTTTGAAATTTGTCAAAGTGAGCATAGGTCAGCGGTAATTGGCATATACCTCAAACCATGAGGTTGTGAGTTTGATCCCTCGTGCCTTTATTGCTCAATTTGTTGTTTTCTCCCATTAACCATGTATGTATGGTATTTGGTTAGGAGGGCAAACATGACAGACTAAATCAATATAGGTGGTAATTTAACAAATTTACTTGTTTGGTAATCTATTTCTAAAAATAAAGTGATTAAAAATAAATGTGATCTCCCAATATATGTTTTTATTTTCCATTTTGAAATCTGATAACATTTCATAAGTAAATAAGTATAATTGGTACTCAAAAGAAAAAAAAAAAGTATAATTGGAAAAAAAATATTGTTACCAAACAGAATCTCCAATTCTAAGTTGGGCCGTAAAAGGCAGGCCCATGAGCCATATTGGGTCTGATTTTAGCCTCTATCTGAGTCCCCATTGGGCCTGATTTTAGTAAGAAAGTCCAACTATGGTACGGCCCCTTTTTAATTTCTATTTTTTTAGTTCCTCTTCTTTTTAGTTTTTTCTTGTTGGCAAAATTCTTTTTAGTATAGTGTGAAATACTGTTGAATTTTTTAAAAATAAGTTATAGATGCGTCCATAATGTAAACCAGTCAAAATTATTTTTAGTTGGTTCGATATGCTAAAAGGTGAATGATTTGATTACTATTTTTCTCTAAGCGTGTTTACGTTCTATAGAAAAGTATTTTTAGTCTCAATTAAAATATATTTAGCCCCAAAAAAATCTCTACATGGATTAATATACTTTTTAGAATACAACAAGAAATTGACATTATTATATGGTATAGAAAATAGCTAAATATATTCTCGTATCAAATTATCGAAAATTCAAATTCCCACCCGAATTAAGAGGAAGAGAGAAAAAGAAAGACGCCTTCGAGTTATGGTGGTCCACTAGAGAAGAAAAAGCTAAAACACGCCTGCACGAATATTCCCACTTATTATTTTAAATAAATAAAAAAAAGAGCTTTATTTTTATTTGTTTAGTATTCTTATTTGCAACACAATGATTTGAGATTCTTGCAGTGTTTTGCTGTTGCCTTGTTTGGTTGGCTGTCGCCGCTTCATCATATTATTTATTTATTTATTTTTAAGAGAATTAAATATATTGCAAAGACAACCACATCCAACAAAACAAAAACCTTGTATTGGTTTTTCCAACAAAACCCTTTTTTCTACCCACTTTTTTTTTTAATTTATTAATTTGAAATGTAACTGATTTGCTCATAATAGTAACGTTAAAATGAATCCATTAATGTTGCATTTGTCACTATATATTCATTCTAATTTGTTATTTAAACTAAAAATATATTGATTTAAAAGATTTGTCAGGATAATCTTTTTTTGAAATCTAAATTAATGATTGAGAAGTCTAGTTGTAGTGCCCGTCCCACCATTTTTAAATGTACTCGTTTGAGAAAAATTTCTCTCATTTATTTTTTTTATTTATCAAAATTTTTCCTTCAAATATTAATTTATGATTAAAAAGCTAAGCTAGTTTCAAAAAAAGCATTCAAGCTAGTAGATCAAATCATGAGTTCTTATACCCAACATTGGGAGAGGCAAGTGAGTTGGTTGGTTGAAGTGAGGTAATAAAAACACGCTTGTTTTTCTTGTCTCACTCTGTTTATTGCGTGTTCCCATCTAAGAAAGATGTACATTTTTCACTAAAGCTAACAAGTGTCAACCAAATATGAGTTAAACTATACTAAATCGAGTGAATTTGAACTTAAAATCTTAATTTAGTAGAGTTAAAAGTAGAGAGGCTGGAGAGCTAATTCAAATGGGATGGAATTGAAAAAATTAAAATTAAAATTATTAAATTTTGATTCACCAAACGGCACAAAAGCAAAAGGGGGGTTTTACAGAAGGCAACAAAAGAAGTGGAGAATTGAAAGCGACGAGCGTAGAGCCGTTGGGGGATGGCAGAATGCAGATGGGAAACACTGTAGCGGCAGCAGATTGAGACCAAGTCCGCACCTCTCATTTTCAAATTCCCATTGGAAGATTCGATCTAATTTTTCTGTTTCCGTTGGAAATCCATCGCCTTTCGAAACTTCACATCGTTATTCACGCATAAAAAGAAAACCCATTATTCTAATTCCTCCACCCTCCTCCTCAAATCTCATTTTCCACGAAAAAAAGGGTATTTCCCGTCTTCGTCACCGACTTCTACTTCAACCCTCTTCAATTCCATCCTTACGCGCTTATATTCCATGGTCTGGACCTGAGTTCTTTCCCCTTTTCTTTCTTTTTTTCCATTCCTGAGCCCTTTCGAGTGTTGGGTCTCTGTCGATTGCAGAATCGATAACTCTCTATTCTGAATCGCCCAACTGATCGGGGTTTCTTACACCCAAAAGAGAAACAAGAAGCACTGGGGATTGTAGGGATTGTGTATTGCTATTCAATTTGAAGTTCTTCTTTTAGGAAGATTCTTTCTTCTATCTTTTTGGGTAGTGGGGGTGGCGGTGGAGGTGGGGGTTTCTTGCCTGTAAATCCCCGCCTTCATACTAGTGAAGATGAAGAGAGCGAAATTGGATAAAGTCGATACGATCGTGTCTTTGATAAGACAGAGATCGTTTCAGATACTTATGTGCGTAGGGCTTCTGTATCTTCTTCTGGTTTCTTTAGAAATTCCGCTGGTTTTCAGAGCTGGGTCAGGCGTCGTTTCGCAAGACTCGCTGTCTCGGCCTCCTCCGTTGGCGAGCAAGGAAGATCTGGAAGAAAGAGAAGCCCCATCTCGCCCTTTGGAAAATATCTCGAGAAACTCTTTGCAGCCGACTCCGAGTCGACTCACTCAGTTCAATAAGATCATCTCTGGTTTGACCTTGGAATCGGAAGCTTTTGAGTCTGGTACTAAAGACGCGGTTTCTGAGTTTTATAGTTCTGCAAAAATTGCTGCGGAGGTTGGGAAGAAGTTCTGGGATGAGCTTGAATCTGGAAAGATTCAACATACGGGGAAGAAGAAGGATGAAAATCGATCGAATTCTTCGTGCCCGCATTCAATTTCTTTATCTGGGGCAGAGCTTTTGGCTCATGGGGGAGTTATGATGCTGCCCTGTGGACTCACATTGGGGTCGCACATAACGATTGTGGGTAAGCCGAGAGTGGCACACCCAGAATACGATCCCCAGATAACTCTGGTGAGAAATGGCGAAGAATCTGTGATGGTTTCACAGTTCATAATGGAGTTGCAGGGCTTGAACACGGTGGAGGGCGAAGACCCTCCAAGGATTTTGCATTTCAATCCAAGGTTGAAGGGGGATTGGAGTGGGAGGCCAGTGATTGAACTGAACACTTGTTACAGAATGCAGTGGGGCTCGGCGCTTCGCTGCGAAGGCTGGAAGTCCAAGGCCGACGAAGATACAGGTAAATGAACTATGAAGAATTTAAACACATTTACTGAATTTGGTATCTTCCATAGTTTTATAACTGGCTGGCCAGGTCAACATTGGATTTTACTGACTTCATATGAGCAAAGCATAGTAATTTTCCAAGAGTTTGGTCTTTTGATGATATTTATCCATAGTCTAATGTTCTGCTTGGATGAGACTTGAGAGTATTATGAACATGATTCTTAGAGAATGCTGAATCACCATATAGTACTAAGCAATTTGAGTAATTCTTAAGATTTCCACAGTTGATGGCCAGGTGAAGTGTGAAAAGTGGATACGAGATGACGAGGGGCACTCGGAGCGGTCAAAGGCGACATGGTGGTTGAACAGGCTCATTGGTCGAACGAACGAAATGGCTGTAGACTGGCCTTATCCTTTTGCTGAGGACAAACTCTTTGTTCTTACACTCAGTGCAGGATTTGAAGGTTACCATGTAAATGTTGATGGGAAACATGTCATTTCTTTCCCTTATCGCACTGTGAGTAATATACTTGAGAAATGATGGATGCTGCCCCACAAAACTTATCATCCTTCTCTAATAAATTTTATATCATACAGGGATTTGCACTTGAAGATGCTACCGGACTATCTATAATCGGTGACATCGATGTTCAGTCTGTGTTGGCTGCTTCATTGCCAAGATCGCATCCTAGTTTTGCTCCTCAGCAGCACCTCGAGAAGTCGAGAAGATGGCAAGCACCACCTCTTCCTGATGGCAATATAGATCTGTTTATCGGTATCCTTTCTGCTGGAAACCATTTTGCTGAACGGATGGCAGTTAGGAAGTCTTGGATGCAGCATAAACTCATTAAGTCGTCGAAGATCGTGCCTCGTTTTTTCGTAGCACTTGTAAGTGACAAGGACGACAGTTCTGTTTCGTTCAACGCCAAGTTAATCTGCCGTGTCGTATAATGTATTGACATAACCCATTTGATTTCTCATACTTATGCAGCATGCTAGAAAGGAAGTGAATCTTGAGCTGAAGAAAGAAGCTGAGTTTTTTGGTGATATAGTGATAGTGCCTTATATGGATAACTATGACCTTGTGGTTTTGAAAACTGTGGCCATCTGTGAATATGGGGTGAGTTTTTGGAACTAATATGAATAGTCTGAAATATTGAGATACCAACACAGAGGTTGGCTTATGATTAATCCTGTGAGTTCTATCTTTCACACAGATTCGTTCCGTGTCTGCAAAATATATTATGAAGTGCGACGACGACACGTTCATAAAAGTAGATTCGATTATGAATGAGATTAAGAAAGTCGCCAAAGAGGGGAGCGTGTACATTGGCAACATAAATTACTACCATCAGCCCCTGCGCTATGGAAAATGGGCTGTCACGTACGAGGTAAGTTTTCGTGTTTCTCAACTTTGCAACAATGCATTCTTAAATCGAATGCCAATGTCATTTAACAGACTCGTTATCTTCCTACAGGAATGGCCAGAAGAAGACTATCCACCTTACGCAAATGGACCGGGCTACATCGTGTCATCCGACATTGCACACTTCGTCGTGTCAAACTTCGAGAGGCACAAGTTAAGGGTAAGTTCATCTCCATATCAGTTCAAACCTCAGATCCAACTTGTTGCATAAAAGAACATGAAGCAAAAATTGTTTGTGATATTTTTACAGTTATTTAAGATGGAAGATGTGAGTATGGGGATGTGGGTGGAGCAATTCAACAGTTCAAAAACAGTGAAATATGTTCATAGTTTCAAGTACTGCCAATTTGGATGCATAGAAGAATATTACACAGCCCATTACCAGTCTCCCAGACAGATGCTATGCCTCTGGAGCAGATTACAGAGGCAAGTTAAGCCTGAATGCTGCAATATGAGATGATAATGAACACCAAATTTACTGCAGTCAATCTCCATTTTTGACTGCTTGATTGCCTTGTATATTATCTCAAGCTTCGGTTTTGGGTAATTTCTAGTTCCTGTAAAAAGAAAAGTTACCTTCTCAACACCCCATAATCCATTCATTATTTTTCAGCCAGCAAGGTTTAGCTTGAACATATGATACACTTTTTATATTAATAACTTTTCTGGGAAAAAAAAAGGGTTTTTGGAGCCGAATATTTCATGCTGTTGTTGTTGAAAACTGAAAGGTGAAAATGGAACAGGCGTAGGAATTCAGAGTCAGAATATGAATAATAATTGAACTTAATTAGTAATAATATTTCTTTTTTCAAAGATAATTGTTAATTAAAAAAAAGTAATGGTTGTACATATAATAAAAGATGTTTTAGCTATATGAAGTAAGAACAAATTTGTCTACCACATAATAAAGATGTGGATAAAATACCATATAATAAATCATCAAATAATTAATAATTACTGCTTTCCCCAAGTTAGTGTTAATTAAATTGATCAACAGAATTAAGCTCTTGAATAAGTTATGGATTTAATCAATTACATAAATAGTTGAATTGGTCAAAGATAATTTTAAAGATTTGTTTAAAATTTTATTTGATAAATTGTAACACTCCAAAAAATAAATTCGTGAATGGTATGCTGATTATAGTGACCAACCAACAGTAAGGGTATGCTGTAATAGGGATATTTTAGGGAAATAGTGTGAAGTATACGAGGCTTGGATGGATAAAAAACCAAAGGTAACTCGGTTATAACTAAGTGTAAATTACTTACCAGAGCTATCCTACGGTTTGAGAGTCGTTCGGAGGGGCTGCACTAAAAAGGAAATTACGAGGCAACCCTAGGTCGGCCTCGTGGCAAGGAATAAGTTACGGGAGACTTTCCTCTTTTGTTTCTCCAACGGTGACAACTAGGTCCACAAAGTATTAGTCACCATAATATACAAAAGATTACATTTGTGTTTGTGGTTGTTTGATTTTCAAGATTGGATTAAGCAGTTAATATCTTCTGAGTGTCAAAAAAAAAAAAAAAACAGATGGTGCCAAAAATAAGCCTATTTGGGGCAGACTTTGCTTGACCCAAAGAATTCTCAAAAACTGCTTGGTTCCAAATATGGTGAGAACTTCTTTTCCAAGGCTCAGATTGGAGCACCGGGAAATCATTTTCAAAGACTTTCAAAATAGAATCTGATTTGACTAAATTTGAAGTACTGGTCAATAAGATACGAACATTCAAAGTTAACACACACAACGACAACTTTTAGAGGAGTTGATGAAATTAATAGATTCTAGTCTTGTTGGACAACAAAGGTAACACAAAAATCTTTGATCTGGCACTAGTTTCACTAATTTTAGAGTTCGAATAAGAAAGATATGGATTTTGAAATTATGCAAGTTTCTCACGAATTTTGGGGTTTGAAGAAAAATATGTAACTTTGACTATAGGGCTATTTTACTTGTTGGGAAACTTTTAAAAACAAAATAAGCAAAAATTTGAACCCTAACAATTTTCAAACTCCTAATCTTTCATGCAAAATTTAAAAATGGACGAGCAAGAGAAACATAAAATAATAAGAAGAATGCTTAGATAAGTAAGCCATCACACATTTATGTGCTAACTCCCAATAAAAATTCGAACGCTTCAAAAATTAGGAAAAAAAAATGTACCTTTCTCTTTCCTACTTATAAAAAATTTAATGGTGGTCAATAAAAGATGAATATCGATCAGCCCTTAAGGAGCAACCCAGTTGGTAAGAGTTTAGGATCTCTGGGTCATACTAGCTTAGAGATCTCGAATTCGAACATTTTGGTGAGCTTAATATCAAAAAGCCTTGATGTCTCCCTTGTCTAAGGTTCGCGACCCTGGGTATAGGAAACTCTAATCCCAGTTATCAAGAAAAAAAAAGATGAATAACGTCCCGGACACATGGACCCGAATTAACGTGAAATGGAAAAGATTCCATTTTCAGCCCCCCCCCAGAAGTCATAACCTCCATATAGCAGCCTCTCTCATCTATACCACATAAAGGGTTAATTAAGGAAAATGCAAGGAAAAAGAAACAAATTTGGGCCAGAGTCTTCTCCAAAGAAATCAACCAGTTGAATACAGATTTAGACTAATCCCTGGAATCTCTCCCAAAAGAATGAAAGAAAGAAAAAAATCTTGCTTTATGGAAAGGAAACAAGGCAGTCATTTTCAGAAATCTTGACAAACAAAAAGAGAAAAAGGATCTCTCTCTTTCCAAGCAATTTCACGTTGAGATTTTTCAAAGGTTTTGTGCCCCACAAGCACAGATCTCCATCTATTCTCCACCCTTTCTTTTGAACAATTTTATATATTTTCAACCAAGTCGTCATCATGTACATGTCACCACCACTCAGTCATCCACAAAAACAAACCACCTACTCCAATAATCGAACTCCAGTCCAAAGCAATTCCAAAGTTCGCTACTTTCCTTTCAAATACATCCAAATTTCTTGTCACATGGGTGTCCAGATTCCACTCCCATTTGTATAGATAGGCAAGTGAGAAACAAGTCTAGTCACTACAGATAAACAACTCAATAGATTTACCAAGAAAAATCATAGTACCTGATGATCGTCAAACTTGTCAGTCATCGTTTGGGCCCCTGCCACGCATTTCTAAATCAAAACAATTTGAAGGGAAGTACTTACGTGTGCTAATTGAGTTGGGTTCCTTCGCTTATAAATGCCAGTTCCCTTTGTCTTCAAGTTCAAACTATCCCACTCTTTCTCACTCTCTCATCATAAATGTATCTCCTCTTCAGTAGTCTGAAAAACATAAGCTCTTCTCAGGAACACCTTCACCAGAACGCCACTTCCGGGATGTGGTTGGGGGCGGCATCAATGGCGGGCTCCTGGGTAGCTGCTGGTCCAAGCATTGCTAGCTTCATGTTTGCGTGGGCTATGATTCAACAATACTGCCCACAGGCAGTTCTTCGGTTCTTTAAGAAATACTGGCGCAGACTCACGAATTACTTCCATCCTTACATACAGATATCGGTCCACGAGTTTGTTGGCGAGCGTCTCAAGCGTAGTGAAGCTTTCGTTGCTATTGAGTCATATCTCAGCAAGAATTCTTCCCAAAGTGCCAAACGACTCAAAGCTGAGATAGGTAAAGATAGCACCAACTTGGTGTTGAGTATGGATGATCATGAAAAGGTGACGGATGAATTCCAAGGAGTAAAAGTATGGTGGGTTTTGAACACAACAGGGTCACCATCGAATTCCAACAATTCGTATCCGAGTCCTGATAGGAGATACTACTCACTCACTTTCCACAAGAGGCACAGAGATTTAATTACAGAGCCATATTTGAAGCATGTCCTGAATGAAGGGAAAGAAATCAGAGTGAGAAATAGGCAGAGGAAGCTGTACACGAATGGTTCTGGAGGCAGATGGAGTTACATGCACACCATGTGGAGCCACATAGTATTTGAGCACCCTGCAACATTTGACACAATAGCAATGGAGGCAGAGAAAAAGCAGGAGATTATAGATGATTTACTGACCTTCACCAGCAGCAAGGATTTTTACTCTCGAATTGGGAAGGCATGGAAACGTGGGTATCTTTTGTACGGCCCACCGGGGACGGGGAAGTCTACTATGATTGCTGCAATGGCCAATCTGCTAAATTATGACATTTATGATCTGGAACTCACTGCAGTGAAGAACAATACAGAGCTTCGGAAGCTTTTGATTGAGACAACAAGTAAATCAATAATTGTGATTGAGGACATCGATTGCTCACTTGATCTTACAGGGCAGAGGAAGAAGAAAGAAGAGAAGTCTAAAGATGATGAGAAAGATAAACCCCCTAGGGAATCTTCGAAGAAAGAAGATGAAGATACCAGCAGCAAAGTCACTCTTTCAGGATTGTTAAACTTCATTGATGGAATATGGTCAGCCTGTGGTGGGGAAAGGCTTATCGTTTTCACTACCAATTATGTGGAGAAGCTTGATCCAGCTCTCATCAGAACCGGTCGGATGGACAAACACGTCGAGCTTACTTATTGCAGCTTTGAGGCATTCCAAGTGCTTGCAAGAAATTACCTGAATCTTGAAACTCATCCGCTATTTGATCAAATCAAAGAGCTGTTCCAAGATGTCAAAATTACACCTGCAGACGTTGCAGAGAACCTCATGCCCAAGTCTCCAAAAGATGACACTGAGAAGCGCCTTCACAAATTGATTCAGACTCTAGAAGGGTTAAAAAATGCAGCAGCCATTGGGGAATCTCAGGAAGTACATTCAGCGGGTTCAACAAACTGAAGGCTCATCTCCAGGTTGAATTTAGCACTTTCTGTCTTGTGCTTTTTAGGTTTGGGCAGGGGAACTCGCTGAGAATAAAAATAGTTATTGTGTTTTATGATGGCCGATATTTAAAATTTCTTCTGAACAATTAATCCATCCATCAGCTCGCTCAAAATATTTTAGATCTTTCTATTAATTAATGGTGTGGAATTCTATTTGTCCATATAATGTACAAATTATTAGAAACCATGAAGGGAAAAGAAAAGAAAAAAACAGCAGTGATTTGATTTTACTTCAACGACCCACCACTCCACCACCGTCTCTAAGAACATTTTTCAAAGGCTCTGTGCCCCCAAAGTTATCCATCTCCACCTTTTATTTTAAAGCAATTGTGTATTTTCCATCGAGTGACGTCATTATGTACATGTCACGACTCCCCGCCGTCCACCAGATCAGACCACCTACTCCAATTTCTCCTTTCTAAGAACATTATCCTATTATTATTTTTCCCTCTTTTGAATTAAATAATTGAATGATCCCAAGTTAATTTATAGTTCGTGACCTAAAAAGCAAATATGAAAGCAAACTTGGACGGTATCTAATTCAAGAGAGCACTTCATTTCCTTTCAAATACATCCAAATTTGAAATTTCAGGTCACATGGACATGGGTGCGCAATCTCCACTCTTGTTGCCTGCTTAGTCATTCCAAATAAACAAATGAATAGATGAACAAAGAAAAATCATAACACCTCACCATCGTCAAAGCTTGCAGTCTAAGTTGGGACCCCTGCCACGCATTTCTTAATCAAAAAAGTTGAAGGGGTCATCATGCATCTTCCCCCGCTTATAAATGCTAGTTCCCCTATACCACTCTTTCTCACTTGCATTTCTATCTCACTGTCACAAATGTATCTCCTTTGCAGTCGTCTACGGAACATAAGCTCTGCTCAGGAACAGCTCCACCAGAACACCACTACAACGATGTGGATGGGAGCAGCATCAATGGCGGGATCATGGGCAGCTGCTGGCCCAACCATTGCAAGTTTCATGTTTGTGTGGGCTATGATTCAACAATCTTGCCCAGAAGCAGTTCGTCAGTTTTTTCACAAATACTCACTTACACTCAAGAATTACTTCCATCCTTACATACAGATCTCAATCCATGAGTTTGCTGGTGAACGCCTCAAGCGTAGTGAAGCTTTCATGGCGGTTGAGTCGTATCTAAGCAAGAATTCATCCCAGAGTGCCAAACGACTCAAAGCTGAGATAGGTAAAGATAGCACCAACTTGGTGTTGAGTATGGATGATCATGAAAAAGTGACTGATGAATTTCAAGGAGTAAATGTATGGTGGGCTTCAAACAAAACTGAATCACCAACAAGTTCTGAAGCTCTGTATCCTGAACCTGATAGGAGATTCTATACACGCACTTTTCACAAGAGGTACAGAAATTTAATTATAGAAACATACTTGGAGCACGTCTTGAGTGAAGGAAAAGAAATCAGAGTGAGAAATAGGCAGAGGAAGCTCTACACGAATGGTTCTAGTGGTAGATGGAGCTACAGTCACACCATGTGGAGCCACATAGTATTTGAGCACCCTGCAAAATTTGACACAATAGCAATGGAGGCAGAGAAAAAGCAGGAGATTATAGATGATTTACTGACCTTCACCAGCAGCAAGGATTTTTACTCTCGAATTGGGAAGGCATGGAAACGTGGGTATCTTTTGTACGGCCCACCGGGGACGGGGAAGTCTACTATGATTGCTGCAATGGCCAATCTGCTAAATTATGACATTTATGATCTGGAACTCACTGCAGTGAAGAACAATACAGAGCTTCGGAAGCTTTTGATTGAGACAACAAGTAAATCAATCATTGTGATTGAGGATATTGACTGCTCACTTGATCTTACAGGGCAGAGGAAGAAGAAAGAAGAAAATTCCAAGGACGATGAGAAAGATAAACCATCCAAGGAATCTTCGAAGAAAGAAGATGAAGAGACCAGCAGCAAAGTCACTCTCTCGGGATTGTTAAACTTCATTGATGGAATATGGTCAGCCTGTGGTGGGGAAAGACTTATCGTTTTCACTACCAATTATGTGGAGAAGCTTGATCCAGCCCTCATTAGAACGGGTCGAATGGACAAACATATTGAGCTTTCTTATTGCAGCTTTGAGGCATTTCAAGTGCTTGCAAAAAATTACTTGACTTTAGAGACTCATCTTTTGTTTGATCAAATTAAATAGCTGATCAGAGATGTCAAAATTACACCTGCAGACGTCGCCGAGAACCTCATGCCCAAGTCTCCAAAAGATGACCCAACGAAACTTCTTCACAAATTGATCCAGACTCTAGAAGGAGTAAAAAGCGCAGCAATCATTAGGGAATCTCAAGAAGTAAATCCAATGGATTCAACCAACTGATCTTTAGTGCCAAACTAATGGCCCAATCCCCCAGTTGAATTTAGCTCTCTGCTTTGTGTTCGTCAGGTTGGGTTTTGGGGTCGAGGGAACTTGATGAGAATAAAAAAATTATTTTCTTTTATGATCGCTGATGATGCTACTGTCATTTAGAATTCTAGCATAATCAGATACCTAATCCATACTCAGTCAATGGCCGAATTCAGCCTCAAGGCATCAATACATTAAATTTAACACTTGAACTGCAGCCAAAGCATCCGGATAAAAAATAGTCATCTTGGCAAATAACCAACACCGAATCAGTATATTTCCATATGTTTGAAGGTGAGAAACATTTGTCATCATAAAATATAATATGAAAATCATACAATCATTTCAGTTATAGAATTGAGTGAACGCTGACTGAACTCATAACAAAGCCTTTGCAGAAGAAAAATCGTATCAATTTCCTAAAGAATCCTAACAAATTATCCCTTACTATCGACATAACAATTTTTAAGCTGCAAAATGCATATAAAATGGCTTTGGAACTTGGTCCATCGTCCATAAAAAAGTTTGAATCACAAATTCACCCATATGGGTAAGGCTTTCAGCAGAAAAAAACGTTAAAGATTAATTCAGTTGTTTTGACATCGTTGATCATAGTGTTCAGATCAATAAGCTCTAAGCTCGTATTTTCTCTAAAAAAATGTAATGTTTATTAAATAAACCGCAAACCCCATTTTACCTGTGCTACCCAATTGTTCAAGTGGTTGCTCGTCTCCTCTGCAGCAACCTCCAATACGTCGAATTGCGTGATCAAACTCAATATCCTGATGGCCATGATCCTCGATCATTCAAATGTGGAACTCTCCATTTCTGGACACTTTGATCCTGATTCAGAAAGCTCTATCAGTAAGGAATACGGATGCAATTTCTAACAACCCTAATTCTCTAGAATCTTAGATCTTCCAAGAGCTAGATAAAAACATGACAAATTTTACAAGATACTGCCTAAAACAGTAGTTGAAAGGGCTCAAAATAAATCCCATATTGGAACGCCGAATTTCGTCATGTTTATAATTCGAAAAACGTAAGAATTCGCCAATTTTTAGTTCACCTGCTCACCGGCGTCCTGTGCAGTTTGCTGCGGTCAGGCGGCCGGCCGGAATTTTACCGAGGACCACCGGTTAAACGTGCAATTTCCCATTCCACTCGTCCCCTCCGCCTCTTGCAATCTCCACAGGCAGCGAAATTCCCTCCCATTTTGCTGCCATATAATTTTCCCTCCTCTCCCCGCCAATTTCACCCCTCCATTATCAAACAATCCAGCGCAAAAGGAGGAAAAAAGAAGATACTTGCAATATAATCTTCATTTTTTTATTATTATTGTTATTTTTTTGAGTTCCACCGTTACAGGGTGGAAATTTTGGAAGATGAGCTATATATTGAAAAATTGGAATTGACAATAAAATCTTCAATTAATTTATATAATTACCGCCACCATATCAACTATTTTTTCAAGAAAAATCTAGTCTAAGATATTAATTAATGATATGTGCACAAAAAAAAAAGAGTGTAATAGATTAGTTTTGAAACCAAAATACCAAATGAAGTCCCGAAGATACATAGTGATCGAGAAGGTTATCAAATATAACATTTTTTTTATGAATTATTGTTTTTATAAAAGTTCAATTTTTACCTAAACTTAGACAACTGAATTAATTTTTAACACTACATTTTCAATTTGTCCCTATATTTCAATGATACACTTTTTTTGAATTTCTTGAAATCGATATCGTGTGGCTTACGCTATAATTAGGATAACATAGTGACCAACACAAGACTTAATCGTAGACCTCGTGATAGGTGATTCCACAATGACCTTTACGATTGCGTCATCCCTAGGAGACGGATAAGTGATACACTTGATAATTTTTTCTCAAGTTGGTCTTTTTAAGTGTTTGGTTATTTGAATTTAGTAATATAACTTGGACAATCGTAAGTTTAGTTTTAACGAGATATTAATTTAACACTTACTTAAACTCAAGGTATAAACGGATGAAATTTAAAAATTAAAATTTTCCTAACATTTTTCAATAAACTCTTAGAAGAAATTTCAAGATAACTTAACCAATCCATTATTCGTTAACCTCAATAAATCTCAATAGAGAGATGTTGTTGAAGATACTCTATCCGGTATATATCTCGTACCATGATGGCTAATACCAAGTACACACTAGCCCTATTGATTATAACACAACCGATAATAGAATTGATGCTTTAACTTGGATATAGCTTTGAGATAAATCCACTATAACCTCACATTTCAAAAGGCTAAGCTCAGGTAGACAGAAATTTCTAATCATTCGAATACAAACAAACTCAATAATCCTTATATAGGAAGAAAATTAAACTTTATTTAAAATCTATAAATCAATTAGACAACTCCCAAAGACATTTTAAAAAGATATTAGGACTAAGCAAGAGTCACTAAATTTAGCTTAAATTGTTCAAAGTGCATTCGTGACAACATTTCGCATTTAAAAATGTGTAGTTGTTAACTAAATTTCCAATTCCAATGCACGTCGTTAACAATAACGACAATAATAAAAGACTCCGTTAGTCTTCAAAAGAACACGCGGTCTTCTCAACATGACACGTGTCACCACTCTAATGGTTTGTTTATTAATTTATTTTATAATTGATAATTCGTGATATTAGGTACAATTTGCTTTTAAAAATAAGCGGCACTCTGTTTCCTCCTTCACTCTGCTCACAGAACACAATTCCATGGATTCCTCTTCCATAAGGCCGAAGAACGGAACCTCAAATTCCGATGACTCCGACCGCCGCGACGGCAAGGCGATTTCCAGGAGGAGGCCGCCGACGATAGCAGAGCTTTTGGCAACCTCAAGCTCTACACTCGCGACGATCATGTTCGCGTGGACGATCATCCGCCAATACTGCCCTCACAGACTTCACCACTATTTCCAAGAATATACGGCGAAATTAATCGATTACATTTATCCCTATCCGTACGTCCGAATCTCAATCTATGAGTTCGTCGGCGAACGCTTCAATCGAAGTAGAGCCTTCGCGGTGGTCGAAGCTTATCTGAGCAATAAGCTTACAGACGACGCCAAAAGACTCAAAGCCGACGTCGGAGAAAACAAGAACAGCTTCTCGCTGAGTATGGACGAGCACGAAAGTGTCACGGATGAGTACGAAGGCGCCGAAGTTTGGTGGAATTTGATCAAAATATCCGGTTCGGCGAAGAAGTCCCCTTCTCTGTATCCTGAGCCCGATCGGAGATTGTACCAGCTCAAATTTCACAAGAAGCATCGGGATCTTATAATCGAGTCGTATTTGAAGCATGTATTGAAGGAAGGAAGAGAGATCAAAGTGAGTAGGAGGCAGAGGAAGCTTTACACTAATGGAAGTGGAAATCGATGGCCGATTCACCGGCAGACGACCGGATGGAGCGAAGTCTCATTCGAGCATCCTGCAAGTTTCGACACGATTGCCATGGATCCAGAGAAAAAGCAAGAGATCGTAGAAGATTTGCTGACGTTTAGCCAGAGCAAGGATTATTACGCTCAAATTGGCAAGGCGTGGAAACGTGGTTACCTTCTGTACGGCCCACCGGGAACGGGGAAATCGACGATGATCGCCGCCATGGCCAATTTGCTCAACTATGACGTTTACGACTTGGAATTAACTGCAGTGAAGGACAATACAGAGCTTCGGAGGCTTCTAATTGAGACGACGAGCAAATCAATAATCGTGATCGAAGACATCGATTGTTCGCTGGAACTCACAGGGCAGAGGAAAATTAAGAAGGAACCTAGCTCGGAGAAAGAGAAAGAGAAGCCAATCAAGGAACCGTTGAAGAAAGAAGAGGAAGAGGCGAAGAGTAGAGTGACTCTATCCGGATTGTTGAATTTCATCGACGGAATTTGGTCGGCGTGCGGCGGAGAGAGGCTGATCGTTTTCACGACGAATCATATGGAGAAGCTGGATCCGGCGCTGATACGACGGGGCCGGATGGATAAACACATCGAGCTTTCTTACTGCAGCTTCGAAGCTTTCAAAGTGCTGGCGAAGAACTACTTGAATCTCGAAAGCCATGAGCTATTTGAGAAGATTGAGGAGCTAATCGGAGATGCAAAAATGACGCCGGCGGATGTAGCGGAGAATCTGATGCCGAAATCCCGGCAAGATTGTGCTGAGAATTCGCTTGGTAGGTTGATCGGGAACCTGGAAGAGATGAAGAGAGCGGCGGAGATGGCGAAAACAGATGAGACGAAGAAACAAGAAAATTCAAAGGACGAGTCCTCCTTGGAAGCAGAGATGGAGAAAACAGAGGAAGTGAAGAAGCCGGAAAATTCAAAGGAATCCTGAAAGTGACGTGACGACTGTTTTTGACTTGCGGGGGAAGACTGCTTGAGAATGGAGGGAACAGCAAAGTCCACTATAAGAAGTCAATGGTGATGAAGATAGAAATGGTCAAATATCTTGAGGTTTGCTATTTTTCCTTTTATATAGATATAATCCATTTTCTTTGGACTAGCAAAGGGATCCACATTTCAAGATAGGTTATATCCATGGATATACATGCAGGTCGATCGAGTTAGTTCGAAAATTACAGTCGGGTATAAGTAGAAACTAAGAACTTAACTCGTGACCATTCTCGTGTGCACCCATATGGCCATTTTTAAAAAATATTACCAAAAGTCAACAAATCTGTAAATATTAATTAACGCTGATGTAAAGTCTTAATTTTATGAAAATGCACATATGGCCATTTTTAAAAAATATTACCAAAAGTCAACAAATCTGTAAATATTAATTAACGCTGATGTCAAGTCTTAATTTTATAAAAATGATAATGAAAAAATCAATAAAATGTCGATACCAATGATATTTATAAAAAAATTATAAAAATCAAGAATTTAGTAAAAAATATTCTAAGTATTTCGCCCATTTATTTTACATTTGTTAGAGTATAATATATATCGGAAGAATTCCCCTTCGAAAGTTTACAATTCTGAATTTTAGAATATATCCATGGTTAATAAGAGCAACATTATTGGATCATTTTGATCAACGTCTAGTGATCAATGCTCAACTCCAACTCCAAAGAAAACAAGCGATTCGTGTGTGTGAGAGATCAATGCCCAACCCCCAAAAAACAGGCGGTTCGTGTGTGCACGTCTGCATGCATATGTATATGGGTGTACATGCGTGTAATTCAATTTGACTTTCTTAAATTATGCAAGTCGACCTGTGCGTAACTCAATTTATCAATAGACTATAACCTTCCAAAGTAAACGACTGAAATATCTACCCCACCTTTTATTGTGCAAGATTCATAACATCATTGAATACAGATTGAATAATTCATATGACAAAGTTAAAAACTAGTTCTAAGCCAACACAGAATAGTATACTTATGATGTGGATGGCTGCTGATCCCTCGAAGGAGGCTTCAAATTTGAATTCCAGGTACATAACCATATATAAAAATAATATTGTTATAAACCCAAACCAGGGGAACAAAAAAGCAGAGTTCTTTGCATCAGTAAATGGCATTTAAACTAACACTGTCCTTCCTTACCAAATCAATCACAAGTCACAAGCAGCAAAATCACACAAGAGAGTAGGAGCACTAGGCTGCTCCATGAGTTTGTCAACCGACCTGCATGAGACGGAGGGGACGGTGTCGGGCTGGAGCTTCCCACCGTTGTTGTTACATTCTCCAACGAGCAAGTGTATTTACAACGACTAGGCGGGACGACCCGGTAAACTCCACTGCTGGTTAGAAGGTAAATGTCCTTGTTATTGTCCTCACCAAATGAGAAGAGGTAACCCAAGGCTGGGAGAGGGCTTCCTGGAGTGGGACTACAAGGAATAGGAGAATCAGATGCACAACTGAAAGGAATCTCATTTGAGGTAAAGTTTCCACTGTTTTCTGGATTTTCAGTTCCTGCCCAAATAGCAGAAGCATACAAATCTCCATACAAGTACCTGTTTAAAAAGATCATAATAAGTATGGGTTTAAATGATTCTTTTTTCCCATCAATATTTGCATCTTCCTTAAAATTTAAACATACATACCTCCCATACATACATGGGTCGGTCTTCGACCGATAGAAATAACCCCCTGTTATTGATGCAGAACCTACATTCTTGTTCATTGAGGAATGGTTGTAGCCCATCACTGGGAAGATTGGAGTTATGGAATCTACGGGTGTAGATCCTCCGGGTGCTGCATTTGGGACAAATAAAAGAGGACCCTCATAAACACGCCATCCGTAGTTTCCGCCCTTTGTGATTATGTCCACCTCTTCGTATCGATCCTGTAAGAACGGGTAGAGAGATTTGAAGCGTCAATCAAAAGGTAGAATGGTAAACTATCCATTGAGATTTACTTCTGTCCACTTTAACAAGTTATTAACATCCCGAAACAGAGATGTAAGAGCGATATTCGAACCTCTCCAGTATCTCCACACATGAAGTAGGAAGGTCTTTCTGAATCGAAACTGCAGCGCCAAGGATTTCTCAATCCGTAAGCCCATATCTCCGGCTGCGCTGCTTGATCTTCAACAAATGGGTTGTCTTTCGGAATAGAATAGTTTCCCCATAGATCAAGTTTACTGATTTCTTCTGGACCTGTACATACAAATATGAGAACAGCACAAGTGGAATTACATGTTTTAATTTATCAGAGAATAATCAGGTTGGCAAGTAAATGAAGTTGACATTGACAATCAAATTAAAAGGTCCGATTCCACCAACTGCAGTGGCAGAGTTCAGAGAGAATAACTATACATGAATCCCTGTCTTGACTTGTGAACTCGACTCATTCGCTAACGAAGGCAATTCAAAACTGAATCGGTGAGGAGAAGACATTTTAAACGCCTCTTAAACTCGAGACATGGTTTGATATCGTGCACGTGCACATGTTTTTTGTCCCTTTTCTTTCTTCAAAGGAAAGATGAGAAGGAAGGACATAGAGAACATTTAAAAATATTGATCAACGGTGTATGAAAAACCAAAACTTTAAAAAGGAAGAAACTTAACAGTAAAAGCTGAAGACTTACTTGGTAAGTTATTGATATCAAGCCTCATAATCTTTCCAAGCAATGACTTCTTGTTCTGGGAAAAATTGTAAGGATCACCTTGACCACCGCCGTCTCCCATCATAAAGTAGAGATAACCATCTGCACCGAAGAGTATCTGTCCTCCATGATGACTGGTAAACGGAAGACCAATTGTAATAATTCTTCTCACTTCTGATGGCTTTGCAGTTGTTGCCTGAAAATAAGAATTGACATTCCTTTGGATCTCACAACTTAAAACTCAGGAAGTATAAAAAAATATTTGCAATGTTCAGGGATTTGTACCAATGAAGGCTGGGATGCACTCCCATTAACAGTGTACTCTGCAACAACACTTTGATGCTGGCACGGCTGGGATCCGCTGTCAGATGGTAGTTTTGAAGGATCACAGTTAACATCAGAATTACAAGAACATCTTCCAGAGCACCCTGGCCACTTAACCTTGTCACAATTGAAAGAAGCAAAGAATCTTCCATTTTGTGCAAAGTTTGGATGAAATGCAAGGCCCATCATGCCAAATTGAGTATCAAAGTTAACTTCATCAGTTAAATCTACAAATGGTTTAGATTCATCGAGCCCCAATACTCCTCCCGACCCCTTCTCGGGAATAGTTGCTAACCAAATCTTGCCCGCTTGGCTGGAGAAGAATGCACGGTTGGATCCATCAGGATGGGGTACCATATTCAGGAAAGATCCATTCCCAATTTTTTCAAGACATAAGCCATTAGGAGGGCTTAAAATTTCAGTTTTGTTAAGGGAAACAGGTTCACCGACAAAACAGACTGATTCTTCAGTGGAGGCTCCGCCAAATGCATTGCAAAAGTCAGTTTTTGACTGCCAGAGATCTGAGAGTTTGCCAGTACTGGAGTTAGTAGGTGCTCCAGCACGACCCTGTAACGATGGGGCAAAGGGGGAGTCGACTATGGTTACATTTTGGCACGTATCCCACACCGTAGCGCAGAAGTTGGTTGCTGCTTGGTCAGATTGTGGTGACTTTTCTGTAGTGGAGTTGCAGAGAAGAGGAACTGGCCTAGATGTGGAACCAACTTTATATAGATCACCAGAAAATGGATCACACCTCTGAAGATATGGTAAGAAGGAAAACAGAAATGGTAAAGGCTTGAGATACCAAGTAAAATACTGTGCAAGATGATCATCAAGCAAGTCCAAGCAATTAACCATTTAAACCAATGTCCATATCAGGCTCATTAAGCTATGGTGAAAAAGGGGAGTGCAGAAACCAACTTCGCTTCTGCAATCATTTAGTCACTAACTATCACAACATGACATAATTCCTTCAGAATCACCTCAAAAAGAAAAGTTTAAAGAAAAGAGGACTTCTTTCTAACTACAGTCAAATAAGAGACATAACACAAGAAAACAATCAGAAAGGCCATATACTAAGCAATAATCTAACTTAATCTGTAAATAAAGGGGAAATTTTCTGTTCTGTTTTGGGGATGATTGATGAACAAGTCTTACCGCACAGACAATTGATTTGATAAGGGAAGCACAGGCAGGATCAGAAATGTTCATCCCTTGGAATTGTCTCTGTAAAAGGGCATCTTGTGTAGAGTTGCAGCAAACACTCCCGTTGTAAGTACAAAACTTCAATGTAGAGTTCAGAGTAAAAGGGGCCGCTACACCAATTAAATCAGAGAAAATCACAAGATGTTAACAGGAAACTGAAGCATCAAAACAGAAATAAGATACTGAATTTGGAAATACGAAACCAAGTCAAAAAAAGGAAGCAGAACCTACTTGAATCAGAGCATAAGGGAAGTGAAACTGTAGGATGAACAAGCAGAAGCAGGCCCCAGAGGAGGAAGATGACACCAATAAAACGCTCCATATCACCAAAAAGACGAGAGAGAGAGAGAGAGAGAGAGAGAGAGACAAAGAGAGAGAAAGGGATTTTCTTCAGTCCATCCCAAGAGATAAGCTCAGGAAAGCCAGGGCATAAAAAGGGATGTCAGGGTTTCAAGCTAAAAGACCAAAGAAAATTATGTGAAAGCATGAGAAATTGGAGTTATCAACATGGTGCCCATGACTGAATTCAAACTTTCATACCCTTCTCTCTCTAGGAGAAACCCTCTTTCTCTCTCTTCGTGTTGGACTTTGTTTATTCAAGCTTCTCGAAGTAAACCCATTTTCAAATTCCGCTGTCTCTCTCCAGAAATGATAAACTACTAATTCTGCCTCATCCCCTTCGTCGAGATTTCGACATGTTTTCTTCAACTCATACGAATAAAAGAGGTACCATCTCCATCATATCAATTTCTCAAAGCTTCTTTTGAGTTTTAATATATAAATATCGAAGACCAATGCGCTAAATGGATAAGTCAGCAACGTTGACTTTACCTGCAATCTCTGTCTACTTGAATATGGTTGTTGAGAAATCCACTGGTTTTCAGCGGGAAATTCAATTCGGATATGGCTACCCAGCGAGTTAAAATCCATCGCCATAGTTCCGCGCAGTGTCTTCCGAACCAACTCCACCAAAAAGTGAGCCGAAAGAGCAAAATTTTCAAATTTGAGAGGAACCCACATGGATTTATTAAAAGGGAAATTCGGATTTCGACGATGAGTTTGACATCAGACATGACGAATGGTTGGAATTGTCAAAAGAGACGCATAAATAAGAAATCAAAGGAAAATAGAGAACATATGAATTTAAAAAGAAAACAGTGAATAGAAAATATATAGAATAGTTCCAGATGACAACACAGTCTGACTTTGCCTCTCATTTTGGGATTGAAAAACATCATGTGATTCTCTGTCCAAAATATGATTGCCATTGTTCTAATACTGCTTAATCTTTTCATTTATATAGGCATTGTTAGTAAAAATATCTTAATTATTGTTCATCAATTGTCCACATGCAATGGTTTCAGGTTCAACAAAAGAATCCAAATATACATTTTTTTAGTTATATATTTGTAATTTGGACGGTTTGAGCTGTGACCCACCAATTTTTTATTGAGCACTAAGAAGTTAGTGATTTTTTTTTTCTTGTGAAAGTACAAGTTAGATCGTGCTAATGTGCTAATGTGCTAATAATGGTCCATTTGCAAGTTGAGGTAAATTAATTGCAGCCAATTATATTATAATATTATAAAAGGTTTGAGACTTTTGTTTTTACCTAGTCAGCAACACGTCACGAAAAATTTCATAGTTTTATTTTAGAGTTTAAAAGTATAAAAATTAATTAAACAATTAAAAAGTTTACTACAATTTGGCTTTTTTCTCTCAACGTTTTTATCTCACCAA